CTGTAGAAACTCACCTAAGAGCGTTGGTTGGGTTTTTGGGTTTTTCTCTTCTTATGCCGATGGGTGCACCTTCTAACAAATTTCTGTTGATATTTTTCCACCTTGTTCACCACCCACCATGGTTTTCCTGTTATGAACACGATGTATCCGAGACTAAGTCCTAACACCAGCCCACATCCATAACCCGCCACTGCAAACTTCCAATTAAATAGTGCTGCACAGTCATCATCTTCATCAAATTTTGATGGAGGTGCTCTTGGTTCTTCCTCGTTGTGGCATTTCTTTGTCAATGGGAATCCACATAGCCCAAAGTTTCCAATGTAGGAATCATTTGAGAAAGTATTGAACTGTTTCCCATGAGGAATGTCACCTTCAAGTTTGTTGTGTGAGAGGTTCAGAACTGATAGGAATGTCAAACTTGTCAACTCCTCAGGAATCCTACCATCAAGCTTGTTTGATGAGAGATCTAGTGATTCAAGCTCTGTCATTTTCCCCAAAGATGATGGAATTTGACCAGTGAGACTGTTGTGAGACAAGTTTAGCAAATGAAGTGACTTGAGTTCTCCCAGCTCTTCAGGAATGTGTCCATGGAATCTATTACTTGAGAAATCAATAGTTGAGAAAGCCATCAGGATTCTCGTCAGCTCCACGTATGAACCTTTCATTATTACCATCACAGAATCATCATAGTAATGGCGATAAATAACCCTTGACCAAGTGGTATAAAAATATGCACCCATATATACCAATTCACCTTCCTCTTCATGTACATCTCTCGTACCTGTCAAATTTTTGAAATAGCTACTCGGTAGGAGACCCGTGAAGTCATTATGCGAGACATCAATGATTCTCAACTCAGGGAAGTAAAATGCAGGTGTAGAGTTGTAAATGGCACCATGAAATCGATTAGATCGAAGGATGAGAACTTTTAGCCCTGAAAGAACACCTAACCAATGTGGAAAGGTGTCATTCAAGTAGTTGTTCCCCACATCAAGAACTTGCAATAATCTGCAATAGCCCAAAGTCCGTGGCAGTATCCCCTCCAACTGGTTGCCATTTAGGTTAAGAGTTATCAGTTGACTCTCGTTGACAAAAGAATTTGGTATTATACCATGAAACTTATTCATCCGCAAATCCAAGATATAGAGATAACTAAAGTTTCCAAGACATTCTGGAATTTTTCCTCCCAAACTATTATTAGCTAAGATTAGAACAATAAGAGAAGTCAAATTGCAATAAGAATAAGGGATTTCGCCAATCAAATTATTCCCTGAAATGAAGAGATTCATAAAATCCGAAGTTGTTGATATAATGGGAAGTGATCCTTGCAGTAAGTTGGAACTGAGGTCAACCTCGATAAGATTTTCAAAAGCAAACAAATCTATACCAGTCAAGAGGTTATAAGAAAGGTTTAAAATGTGCAATGACATCCCTTCTATTTCCCATTTGTGAATTTGACCAGAAATCTTGTTCTTGGAAATATCCAATACTTCCAATCTCTCTGCCTTCCTTAAGAAACTTGGGAACTTGTCTATGTTGCAAGAAGAGAATTTTAAAAACCAGAGGTTTGGAAAGGAATAGCTGACACCAGTGCTGTTATTGCTCAAAGACAACAAACTGTTATTGGAAAGATCCAGCTCCCAAAGGTATACAAGTTTTGAAAGCATGTTGGCTGTAATGGTGCCACTTAAATTATTTGAAGAAAGGTCGACTCTAGTAAGATTCACAAGATGAAAGAACGAGCTAGGAATTGAACCACTTATCCCATTATTGGACAAATACACTCCTTGTAAAATGAGATTAGGCATCTCAATATGATCAATAGGTCCGGTAAGTCTATTGTTTTGGAGGTCTAAATAGGATAAAGAAGGCAGAGAAAACAACCAAGATGGTACACGACCTGTGATGAAATTATTATCCACTTGAAACTCTTGTAAAAATGAGAGTCCACTTATATTGCGAGGAAGAGGCCCTCTTAGCTTATTTGATGACAGTGTCAAATAAATAAGATTCGTGAGGTTGAAGATTGATGTAGGAATTTCACCATCAAAAGTATTATTAAAAAGGCTCAAATAAGTTAGCTTTTGCATTTTTCCAAAAACATCTGGAATTGATCCATAAAATTGGCAACCATCAAGATTCAGATACTCGAGGATACTACTCAGGCTTGACTCAGGCAAATTACCTCCCAAATGAGAGTTGTCTCTTAAATCAAGAAGTTGGAGAGATGGAAGCTGAAAAACTTGGCTTGGAAAGTTTCCTTGCAAATTACAAGAGCTAAGGCTCAAATGCTCCAAGGAAGAAGTCAAGTTTAGCAAGGAAGAAGGCACAACCAGAGACATATTCACAGAATCAAGGATAAGAAACCTTAATTCTGTTAAGCTATGCACAAGCATTTGAAACTTTATGTTGTCAAGAAGCAAATCATCATTATCAGAAAGATCAAGTGAGACCAATTTCTTCAGCTGAAAAACTTGGCTCGGAAAGTTTCCTTGCAAATTACAAGAGCGAAGGCTCAAATGCTCCAAGGAAGAAGTCAAGTTTAGCAAGGAAGAAGGCATAACCAGAGACATATTCACAGAATCAAGGATAAGAAACCTTAATTCTGTTAAGTTATGCATAAGCATTTGAAACTTTATGTTGTCAAGAGGCAAACCATAATTACGGGAGAGATCGAGTGAAACCAATTTTGGTGGCAAGAAGATTTCATCAAACAGGAGAGAGCCATCCATGTGTCCTGAATCTGAATCTGCAAGGTTAAAGATTTGTCACATTAAAAGAAGTGAAACCGGTTTCAAAAGCATGGAGATTTAAAAAAATAAAAAATAAAAGTAAAGAAATAAAATCTCGTACTTGAAAGATTAAGATATGTCAAACTCTTCCAACGGTCGAACCCAAATGAGATGTTAGGATAATGAAAATAATTGCTAGAAAGGTCGAGACTCTGCAATTTCTCAAAGAAGAAGAGACTACTATTTGTGGTTAAATTGGCTTTAAGACAATTACTGCTAAGATCAAGGCCAATCACGTGACCTTTCACCTTATCGCATGTGATGCCCTCCCACAAGCAGCAGTCTTTTCTCTCGTTCCAAGTTTGTAATATAGGACGAGGAGTAACAAAACAGTCTTCCACCATATTAGTAGTGCTTTTGAAATCAAGCAATGCAGAATGCTCTTCAGGATGGCACAAATGTGGCGGTGAATTAAGAGAAGATTGAGAAGGTGAGGAGCTTTGGACTCGAAACTGTAACAAAATGAAGG